ACAGGATTCCCAATAATAACTTCTCTTTTCTTACTCATTTAGGTAAAAGTTGTAGACTTACAACCACCTCTTAGAAATAGCCCATAACTTTCTAATAGCTATAGTATAATTTGAACATATTACAGGGGGAAAAGGGGGGAAAAAAAACAACATGATCAAAGCAATAGAAATTAAAAATGTAAATGATAACATTCATCCCATTTCTATCCCTAAAAAAATTATCTAGAAAAATGGAAGGAAATTACCTGAATTTGATTAAACCATTCACCATAAACACCATAAAAATACTATTTTAAATTATGAAATGTAAAAGTTATTCCCACTAAAATAAGGAAAGAGTAAGGGGTACTATTACTACTTAACATTGTTTTGGAAATTTCAGCAAATGTAATCATACAAGAGAATAAAATAATTGTTTTAGGCCCTTGCTTGCTAGACTCTGGTGTGGCCACGTGCTCTTTGAGCTATGGCTGTCGCCATGCTTCCTGGCTTTGGTCCCCTCCCCCACCTTGGGGAGGTGAATCTTTTTTCTTCCTTCTCTTTCTCTAATTTACTTTTAAATAAACTTTTCTTTTAAAAAATTGTTTTAAATACTGGAAAAAGAAGTATTATATTTCTGTTAATGTTATTGTATACTTAGAATATTTTCCTCTCTTCTGGCAAAAGAAAGTCTATATCACATAGCTGGTTGATTTATAACTTCTTAAGAAATTGCTGTTTATTCAGTAGTTGTACCATTTGGCATTTCAGTGAATGACGTTTGAGAGATCCAGTTGCTCCACATCCTAGTTAGCATTTGGTATGATCACATTTTTTAATTTTAGAAGTTATAATAGTTGTGTAATGGGATCACATTGTGCTTTCAGTTGAATGTATTTCTATGTGCTTATTTTATATCCATATATCTTTTTAAGTGAAATATTTATACAGATCTTTCATTCATTTTTTGAACTTACTGAAAGTTAGAGTTCTTTATATATTCTAGATAACAGTCCTTTATAAAACATGCGATTTTCAAAATGTTTCTCTTCTATGTGGATTCTCTTTTTACTATCTCTACTGTGTCTTTTAAAGAGTAGAAATTTTGTTGTTCATTCAGTCCAACTTATCAACATATTTTTATATGGATTCTGCTTTTGGTCTGACATCCAAGAAATCTTTTCCTAACCCAAGGTCACAAAGTGTTTGTCTTATATTTTCTTCTAGATATTTGAGGATTTATATTTAAATGTGTATGCCATTATGAGTTGTTTTTGTATGTGATGTTACATATAAGTCCAAGTGGTGTGGGGGTGTGTGTGTGTGTGTGTGTGTTTTGCATATATTCAATTATTCAGGCAAAATTTGTTGAGAAAACTACCTTTCCCTTACCAAATTGCCTTTACAACTTTGTCAAAAATCATTTGTTCATTTATTTGTAAGTCTATTTCCTAATTTTATTCTGATTCCATGTTTCGTTGTTATTTAAGAATGTATGACTACAATTTATAAAACGTGCAAAATGAGAAAAGCTGCAGTATCAAGCATATTAATAAGGAAAAGATTACTTTTGTTTGAGATAATCATGGAAAAATTCTCAAAGTGAGTGTTATAACTTAAATTTTTGCCCTCTCCCCACCCCACAAATTCATATGCTGAAGCTCTCACTCCTAATATGATGCTATTTAGAGATGAAACCTTTAGGGAATTAGTTAAAATTACCTAATGCATAATGGAGAGATCCTAAAGGATTGGTGCCATTATAAGAAAAGGAAAAGACACCGGAAAGCCCTCCACATGGACATGGAGGAAAGGCCGTGTAAAAGATGTAGCCACAAGAAGGTGGCTATCCGCAAGCCAAGAAGAGAGCCTTCGACAGAAACTAATCCTGATGGCACCTTAATATTGGACTTCTAGCCTCCAAACTGTGAGAAATAAATTTCTGTTGCTTAAGCTACTCAGACTGTGATATTTGGTTATGGCAGACCAAGCAGACTACTACAGTGGGATTTGAAAAACTCTTGAGGAACTTGAAACTTAAAAACTTGAAATTGAGTCTTTTTATAATGTGTTTGTGGACTCTTAGTCCCACTAATTGGATCACTGTAGTAGAGAGGGAAAAGGTCTCAAACTAATTTAATAATAATGGTTTTGTTGTTCCATACATCTGACAGAATTTAATTGATCCAGATTAAAAATACAAGAGAAAGAGGTCTTGAAGTATTGCTTTCTAGAGAAACTAACAGCCAGATTAATACAAATGCATTACTATTACTAGAGAAAATGTGCATCACTTAATGGGAGAAAGTGAATAGAACTACCTTTGTAAACATACAAATTTAATTTGCGAGAGTGTATCATCAAAAGAGGGCAGTGGGTGGACTTGGAGGTGATCCATATGGGACAAATGATTCCACATTAATATTGTGAAAATGGAAAAATACTAGTCTCTCTAAAAGTAAAATCATCTAAGGCAGTTGAGTGCTTTTAATGTAAAAAATAGCTAGAACACAAAGAATTTCAAGCTAAAGTAGACAATCACAAATACTATAGGTAAGAAATGCTGGTGAAATAAATTAATTCTCTTGGGAGCTACTGAAAGAATTCTTAGAAGAGATGGATGGGATGTGACCTGCTCTTGAGAAGAAGTGCTTGAGAAAAGCAATGTGGCAGGGGAAGCATCGTAGCCAAAGGAGAGAGCGTGGGCTAGGAAAAAGAGGAAAACAAGTGTGGATCCTGAAGAGACTGTGGTGGCCTGAGAACTGAGGGGCTGGGGAGCAAAAGGGGTGGCCAAGAGAAAAGAGGCAAAGCCTGCAAGAGCTACAGAGAAATACTGTATTCATAATACATTTTCGGAAGCATTATGAGATCATAACACCTTTCTCCCAGACTAGAAGACACATTTTTTATAAAGCTCTACATTTATCTTTATTATTTAACATTGTTTTTGTCTAAGTATTTATATGCTACTGCCTACCTGAAGCTGAAAAATCTCCTATACTCAAAGGAGCTCAGCTTTAACTAGGGACGGTAGACATAAATAACAATTACAATTCAGTTTATTATATAGTAATGGCAAAACTAACTTCGCGCAACACTAGTCAAACAGGAAGTCAGCAGTTAAATCCATTTGTGCCCAAATCACACACCAAACTAAAAAAATACCAATTCTTTCAGTCAGGACTATTCTGAGTGGAGTTCAGTATCATGAGTTAAGAGCCTGGGCACCAGACAGGGCTGGGTACTTGGACAAATACTCAGAAGTGGGCCTTGGTTGATATGCTTTGATCACAGTCTTGATCAGAGCAAAAATAATTTTGCAGGAGCAAAAATAATTTTATTTTTGAATTTGATTTTTGTAAAAGAAGTCCAGTAAGACAATGGAACATGTGCCAAGGGCTTAAGGTCCTGGGTCAAGTATAGCCTCATCGCCTCCTGAGATGGCTTCCAGCTTCCTTGTCCACACAGCAACTGCGGCCACCTTACTCCAGCACATGCAGACCTGCCGCAGTTGTGGGGTTGGGGTCCCAGGCACGTCTGAGGGTCTTCACTTGAAACCCAGTATCCTTGTGCTTTAGGAAGCACCACATTAAATGAAAACTAAAAACATCATGACAAGTCAAGAGACACCATGGAAGAAACTTTTCCTGCTTTTTGAAAGAAGGGTCCTGGATTTTCATTTTGCACTGGGCCCTACAAATTATATGACAACCTGAAGCCCTGTAGCAGCAAACAGCCCTAGCTATTGCAACTCTGGGAAAGACAAATGGTTCTGCTAAAGTCAGTTTCCACATCCATAAAATAAGAAGAGTTCCAAGCTGGACACAGTTGCACACACCTGTAATCCCAGCTACTCCGGAGGCTGAGGTGGGAAGATTACTTGAGCCCAGGAATCTGAGAATGCAGTGAGCTATGTCGTGCCACTGAGGCACGTGGTGAGACCATGTCTCTAACAACAACAACAACAACAACAACAATAATAGTTCCTATCTTATTGGTTTTCTGCGGATATTCTGAAGTTAATTCATGTACAGCACTTGGCCCAGCACTTGACTCGTTTTACTGGTCAATACTAAAGATATTAGCAATTAATATATTATCTAATTGAAACTCCCTTATGTCTCCCCTGCCTACAGGTTAACGCATCAAAACAGTCATTCCACAGGAATTAGCAAATGTGTACCCTGGTTTTGCATCAAATGCTTTTTACCTAAATATAAACCTTTCTATAGTGTACAAGAAAAGATGTCTTTGCTTCAGCTATAACGTGAGGCTGGAACAAAAAGCTGTGCCGATCCAAAAAGGCGAGCTTCATACAAGCGAAGAAACCTTCACAAACACTAAATTTTAAAAATCTGACCGAGTGCAGTGGCTCGCACCTGTAATTCCAGCACTTTGGGAGGCTGAGGTGGGAGCATCGCTTGAGCCCAAGAGTTCGAGACCAGCCTGGGCACCACAGCGAGACCTCAGTTTCTACCTACAAAAATTATCCAAAGATTACCCGGATATGGTGGCGAGCGCCTGTAGTCCCAGCTACTCAGGAGGCAGAGACGGAAGGATCGCCCCAACCCAGGAGGTCAAGGGTGCGTTGAGCCGAGATCTTGCCACCCAGCATTCCAGACTGGCAACAGAGAGAGCCCGACCAAAAAATAAAATAAAATGGCTCATTCAAGTGCTTTACCCTTTCAGCAGAGTTCTTTCCTTCCTCATTAGGAGAGGAAAATCCAAGGCCGCTACAACGCCCGGCCCGGTCTACAAGTGAACATAATAAAAACAACATCTTGAAAACCAAAAAGTTGCAGCAAACGTCATCTAGCACAGCACCCTCTGGGCATCCCGCCCCCGTCTACTTTCCATAGGAACGCGCAATTCCGGCAAGTCGCCCTCTGCCCCGGAAGTTGCTCGCTCTCAGTTCCGTTCTACCCTCCCGGTCGTCAGTGTAGCTCTTAGCGCGACGGCGGCTCTCACAGACGGCGGATGCATTTTGGGCGGAAGAGGCTGCCGTGGAGGGGCGTGGCGACGCAGCCGCGGTCCCACAGACCGACTTCACGTGCCGGTGGCAGCGAGTCCTGTTCCTTCAACATCCATGGCTCAGCCGGGAACTCTGAACCTCAATAACGAGGTGAGCGCCGAGGTCTGAGAATCTGTGGGGCTGACCGCTAGGGTCCTCGAAATCCCCCCCGCCCTCCTGCGTCTTTGCGAAAGTCGCGTGGTTGGGCCGGGCCGGGCCGGGGCCGGGGCCGGCGGCGGAGGGGGTGGCTGGTGGAGCTTCTTGGGTCCAGGCTGGTTTCCCTGAGCTCAGAATTTGGCCACCGGTAGCTCCCTTCCCAGCCTGTCTGTGACTGAAGCAAGAGACTGCCTCTGGCCCTGGCACGATTTTATTGTGAGAATTCGGGAAGATCATTTAACCCCTGTGGTCCCTTCCTCAGGGTTGTTGTGAGAGTGAGTTTAGCTGCGATACGTGAAGTGTTCGCAAGTGCCCGACCCTGAACCTCTCCGGACCCAGCACCTGCTTTTTGCTGACTGCCTAAAATGAGAGGAATTGGCAGCCGTTCCTTCTGAGAAATGGCTCATCATGACAGAGACCCTGTACCTCGTTTCCTCCTGCAGCTACTTCCTTCCTGTCCTATTTCTCTGCTTCCATTCACAGCACAACTTCAAGAAAGAGCTGTTTATACTTGCTGTCCCCAGTCGTCTTTTCTGGTTCTTTAAGTTCAATCTCATCAGACATTTGCCCTCACCACTTCCTCCTCCCTAACGTGTTAATGTCACCAGGCTACCCTTTCTACCACTTGCCTCTTTCCAGTTTCTGCTTCTATTCAGCAAAGTAATGTCATCCAGCGTCTTAAAGTTAGCTGGAAAAGCAGGGATCAAATGACCTCACAGCTACATACGACAAGGATGTTCTTTATTTGTATTATATGTTTGAAAGAGTCACTATTCGGATTATACAGTTGTGTAAGACATGCTTTATATTTTCTAGCAATCTATACTCAGGAGAGCTTAAGCAGTTCCCACCTATGATGCAGGACGGTGTATGAAGAGTGCCTCTCAGAATTAGTGATGCAGAACAGTTTACAAAGAAGGCAAAATGAAGTGGGTGATATTTGTCCTTGGTGTCTAAGGATCTTACCCAGGAATTGCAGTAAGCGATTCAGTAAAGTGGAGGAAACCTTTCCGGGCGGAAGGACTATTATAAGCAGGAAAAGGGGTCGTTGTAGGAAAACCCTTGGGTGGTAATAGGGATAGATAACTCTTTGTTGGTGAGAACTTGAAATAGGATAACACATGTTACTTCCACGTTATTGAGTATGGATTTTAGCAGGCAGCAGAGTACAGTATATATTAAGATGGAAAATGAAAGACATTTACTATTTACTCATAAACATCAGTTAAATTTTGTGCCAGAAAACATTTGGTGGGCTATTTTCCATTCAGTTACCTGTGATATGTAAAATATCGGAGTGATGTGTTGGGACTTTAATGCTAGTGAACTTCCTGTTCAATTTTGAAATGACTTTGATAGTGAAAATGGCAGAGAATTGGTTATTTAAGGAAGGCTCTTTCTTGTTCTACTTAGCTGACTTCCAGACTTCTTCAAAACAGCTACAATTTTACCTTTCAGAAGCCTTCACTGATTCACCTTAGTCTGAGTTAGTCTAGTCTTAACTGCGTTCTACTCTGGGAACATTATTTACCTCTTTCTATTTTTCTTTGTTTATGTGTTTATCACCTGCAACACACATGCTCTATAAATGTTTGCTAAATGAATAAGTTTATCAAATCAGGAAGAATGTGGCCCACACCTCTGTCTAATATGTTCTAGTACAAAAGGAGCAAAAGGACAGAAAAAAAGTGGAGATGATGGAGGGTGTTATAATTTAGTATTAATGGGGAAAAAATACAAAGGGAAGGACAAATACAGATTTAGCTACAGAAAAACTGAATACCATATAAAAGAAAAAGGACAACCAGTGAGACAAAAAATACAGCAAACATGACAAAGGGTTAACATCATTACTATAAAATAGCTCATGGAAATTAAGAGAAACTATCTCATTGAAAATGGGCAGAAGAAATGAATTAACTTCTTCAAGGAAGAAATTTATCTGAAAAAGAATTCATATTCACTGTTTGAGATCTTTTCATTTCTTTTCCATCACTACCTCTGTCCTAGTCCATCTACGTACTCATCTTCCAACTGCTTACATTGATTCTTCTCAAACTTTGATCACTATACTGCAGCTGTAGCATTCTCCTCAAAGCATACATCTAGCCTGGGCAACCACGTCTCTACAAAAAATAAAAAAATCAGCAAGGGGTGGTGGTGTGTGCCTGTAGTCCAAGTTACTTGGAAGGCTGAGGCAGAAGGATCGCCTGAGCCCAGGAAGTGAAGATCACAGTGAGCCCTGATTGTGTCACTGCACTCCAACCTGGGTGACAGACACCCTGACTCAACAACAATAAAAAAAAAAAAACTAATCACGTTACTCACTTTTCTGTTATACTGTCCCTCTCAATCACTACACATCATCTTCACTGACTTTCCTCTACTACTTGACATAGCCCTCCACAATCCTTTGCACGTGCTATTTCTTATTTTTTTTCCCAGCACTTTTCTTTTATTATAAAGATGTGGGGTACAGTTCAGGGTTAGGTATACAAACGCTGATTATGCAGGTACCCTTGTTGATGAGATATGCCCCTCCCTCCCCTAGCAGTTTCCCTCAACTGCCAATCCCACCCCCCTCCCCTGACAGTTTCCCACTACCGCCATTTCCTTTCTTGTAGTATTATAATTGTTCAAGGACTACTTATGAGTGAGAACATATGCTACTCTGTTCTTTGTTTCTGTGATAGATCACTGAGTATGATCAACTCCGAATCCATCCAAGTTGCTGCAAAGCCCTATGTTTGTCTTTCTTTATGAAAAGATACCTGCACATGTATGTTTGTTACAGCTCTATTCACAATAGCAAAAACATGGAACCAACCATACTGCCTGTCAAAGCTGGACTGGCTATTCTTTTTTACCTGAAACTCCTTTTCCTCTCATTAGTCCAATACTTTATCTTACTTCATTTGTCACTTTTTTTTTAGGGAAACCATTCTTGACATGAAGCTCTTGTGATGCTGTTCCTTTTTTCAGAATTTATAATAGTGCTTTGTGTGAGATTTCTTACCCCCCTCACCTGACTGTAAACTTTTGTTCACCATTATATCCTCAATACCTATCTGTTGAATGAATAACACAAGGCATCATTTTTATAATTCTTAATATCTTTGATTAGCTTTCTTAACTGGATTTTAGGGATGTATTTCTGAAGTACTATGACTGCCTGAAATTATGTGTAAATTTGTGTTTGTAGTCTGTCTCTGTGGGGAAAAGAGTTCATATGCTTCATTAAATTTGCAAAGGTTTATAAATCTCTGTGGTACTGTCTTTGAGAGATACTGGTATTCATAGCTGTGATTTTACTTTATAAGAATCCTTGTTTCATAATTTTTAAGTATAGCTTTTTCTTTTAAAAAGTTATATGACTGTCTAATTTTATAATATTTAATATCCCAGAATGTCTTATGTGAAAGTGAAAACCTGCCTGCAAAGGCACTGATTATATTCTGGTAACTTTCAACGTGTTTTACCCCTAATAATTGTATTCCTATACATTTTTTTCCATAGGTAAAAGCTAATTTATAAAATACTTTCTGACTCTAGGTTCTTAAAATAATTTATTCTTGTTTTACCTTTTTAAACAGATAAATCATCACTTTTTACTTCATCTTATGATTATCTGTTGTATATTTTATCTTCCCTAGTACATTATGTGTACTTTGGAGAGAGAATTTTTAACTGCTGTATTTCAGCAGCTACCCTAACCTCCAGCTTAGTACATTGTGTGCAGGGAATAATAAATAAATATATACTGGGCAGATGAAAGTATGAATAGCATCACAACTATGTCAACTGATGTTCAAATGAAAGGGAAAGTCTCCTAAATGTTGACATTTTTCCTCCCTTTTCATTAGAACTAGAGAAAGATGCACCGTTGAAAACAACAGTGCCATAGCATTTAGTGAGTAAAGAATTTACAAAACTAGCACTAGATTTTTCTCAAATCATTGGTTTCTTCAGTCCGCAGCAATATGTAAAAATCAGAATTAGGAGGTGAAGCAATCTGATGTAGTACTTTAACATCATGGGAGAGCCAGGACTTTTATACAAAACTGATGTTGTTGTTGTTGTTGTTGTTTTGATAACAATTTACCAGTAAGCCCATCAGAAAATTGCTTTCCAATTCTTATAAAATAGTTACGCTAGAAAGTAAAGTGCCAAAGAACAAAATTATTTTTCTCCGCATATTGTAAAAAATAGGAATGTCAAGAACCATTTTTGCGTGTATTTATGACGTTACAAAACTCCTGTGTCATGACTGAATGCATAATACTTTTTAATAATTATTTCTGAAGCAGTAAATTAGGGCCCATCCATAAGAGGCAACCCAGTTTGTTTGGCTATTAAACGATTCTGGGAAGTTTTGCTAGGTGGCAGCATATGCTCAAGAATGGTTAAGTTGTAGATAATCACTAAATATTCTAGATTTTTTTAAATTATTGCTCATCAGAAATAAAAAGAAGTATAATTCAACAATAAGTTATACAAATGGCCAAATTAGAATCGTCTTTATAAAACCATAATTAATGTTGTTAGCTCTGAAATACTTTGAACATGTGTAATATAACTTGTCCTTATAATTTACTTTTTATATCTAGCAAATATCAGTGTTTTGCCGTGTCTTAATGTTTAATTATAGCTTCTTTATTTTCCACTTCAGAAGTAATGATTATTGTTTTGGTGTATGTTTTTCTCATCCAATTTTTTAAATAATTTTAGTAACATATATCTATATCCAGTCTATATTATTGTTTTGTATATTTTTAAACTGCACATGTGGTAACATGCAGTATAAATGTGGCATTTTATGTATCATTCTGCAAGTCACAGTAGTCTTCCCTTATCCTTGGAGGGATATGTTCAGGACCTCAGTGTATGCCTGAAACTTCAGATAGTACTATATTCATTACGTTTTTTTTTTCTATACAGTAGTGGGCAGGTAGTGT